ACGAGGCACATGGACATGCATGCACATCTGCAGACGCCGCTGATTGCCCGGCAATGGACGCCGACCCGTTCCAGCTCGTCCAGTTGGCAGCGTCAGCATAATTTCCTGATGCTAAATGCCAAACGCAGAACGTAAAGGATGAACGGGGACGAACAGCGAACAGCAGCCAGGAGCCGAGCACTTAAGCCCATCCGCCGTTCTGCTGCCATTCGACGACTGTCCACTGACCGACTGCCATTGCACGAGCTCGAATGGGAAACCGTGTCCGTGTCCGGGCTCGGGACTGTGCCTGTTGTTGTTGTTGTTGTTGTTGTTTTTGCGGCTCTGTGTCATTGTCTCGCGCTGGGAGGGCAGAACTGAGACCATAACCATAACCAGAACTACGACCAACAGCAGGACGGGTAGCAGGACCTGGGCAATTTAGAGTGGCGCATACACACACACCTGCTTTTGGGTAATTTATCTCGAAGAATTATTATTTCAAATATTTTGGGCTGCGGACTGAGCGAATGCCTGTTCAACTCCCCTGGACGGGGCAACGAAATAAAAGGATTTTAAAATGGTCATTTGATATGAATTATGCGCGTTGGTGCAATTACAGAACCCACACCTAATCACACATCTCCCTTCCCACCAGCCTTGCAAGAGCTGTACCGCCCCGGTTGATGCCTTTGTCTGACTGTGATGCGGTTGTCTGAAGCGCTTAGACGGGACGGTCTCGGAACTGGAACTGGATACTGCGCTCTTCTTTATCGCCCCATGCGAGCGTGTCCTGCTTGTTGTCCTGGCGCCGCATTTGGCGTCCGCGGCTAACGCATAAAACATGCGCTCTTGGACTTCATTGTTAAATAATTAAATCAGCTGCGAGACTAATATATTTCTCTTAATTGCAAGCCAAGTCATGTGTGCGCATGAGAAATGTCCTGGCCAGTTGGCCCATTTCTGATTTATGTACCGCCAATAGACGACAGCAGTCGACGTCGGGCATATGCAGCATTATATATGGATTTAGGCATGTCCAGATATAGCAGCTGCTTATCGAACAGATTTATGATGTAGAGCTTGTGCAGGAATTGTTACGCTACATGAACTCTTTCTGACTTCAGCTCGTTACTCGACACTAAAATCTTGTTTGTCGCTTAATTAGGTTGAGCCTTAGCGTAATTATTTTTTTTTTTTTTTTTTTTTTTTTATATTTTGTTTATTAAGAAATCTGGTATCCTGTTACTCTATGTTAGCAACTTTTATCAGAGTGACATAATAACTTAGCTTAGCGATGATTGTGGTTTTACAATTAGTTATACAATTAGGTTAACAGATTACAGAAACATATTTTGGTGTAATTAACGAAGCTTGTCACCTATACATAACGATCGATTAGGTCGGTTGGGTAGGTCCTCTTCAGTCGCCTTCTTCTTCGCCTCCTTAGCAGGCTCCTCGCCAGGATGTTTGGATGGTTGTGGAGCTTTGTTGAGTAGCTCGCTGCTTGCCTGTTGACTACGTCGCCCACCATTGGAACCTTGAGGTCCTTGGCGATGTCGCGTGTGCGAATATACCATTCGGCTCCAGTTATTTTGCGCAGGGTTTTGGCCTGAATGATGCGAATTTTGTTCAGGTGTGTTTTTGCAGCTATACCGTAAACTTGAAGCCCGTAACGCCACACTGGGGCAAGGATTACCTTGTAGATTAGGACCTTGTTTCGGAGCGAGAGTTTGTTTTTGGAGTTGAGGAGCCAGCTCATTCGCCTTATCTTAGATTTGATGTTGCTCGTTACTGCAGAGACGTGCTTACTAAATGTAAGTCGTCTGTCGAGAGTGACACCTAGGTACTTGTGTTGACGATATTGCTCTAGAAGCTCACCATGAAGAAAAAGTCCGGGGCATGAGTCCTTGCGTAGAGTGTGGGTAACCGTGGCGCACTTTCCAGGGTTCACTGCGATGTTCCATCTACAAGCCCAGTTTTCAAATCGCTTGAGGTATTCCTGCAAGAGGTCAGTTGCCACGTACACACATTTGTTTTTTGCAAGGATTGCCGTGTCGTCAGCAAACGTGGCCACCAGAAGGTCCTGCCGATCATTCCGTCTGCTTGCATTTGCTGTGGGCATGTCATGTGTAAACAGGCTATATAGCGTGGGACCCAAGACGCTGCCTTGTGGAACGCCCGCTTTTATGCGTTTGGTTTGAGAGGCTACTCCATCCTGCACCACTTGAAAGGTTCTCTCAGTTAGGAAGCTCGCAATGGTGCTAAATAGCTGCGGATTCAATTTGTCCTTTATCTTGGAGAGGAGTCCTGCGTGCCACACCCGGTCGAAGGCTTCTTGGATGTCGAGGTATGCTGCCACCACATACTCTTTCCTGTGAAAGCCGTCCAAAATATAATTTGTGACCCGATGTAGTTGCTCAGGGGTACCGTGTTTGAGTCGAAACCCAAACTGGAACTTCGGGATCAAGCGTTTTATTTCCGGGGTATTCAGGACCCTTCTGAGGATGCACCTTTCCAGAATCTTACCAAAGGCAGGCAGGAGGCTGATGGGGCGATAGGATCCCAGTTGATTAGGGGGCTTTCCGCTCTTGTGCAACATGATTATATGTGCCTTCTTCCAAGCCACTGGAAAGTAACCTAGCCGAAGAGCTGCATTAAAAATGGCGACGAGAAAAAGCACCGCCTTGTATGGCTTAGCGTAATTATGGTCTGTGGTTTTATTCTCTCGACTTGATTTCAATATGGAATAAATGAAGCGACTGCTTAGTTCGTAAATTTAAAATTTTGAATTAACTTAATTTTACCAGTTCTAGAAAAATACTATTTAGCATATCAAGTATGTCTACAGAATTTGCTCTTCCTTGTTTTCTGGAGTACTTTTGACTGGCAACAATTTTGTACTAGATCTATTTTTTTCCAACTTGATTTCAATTTAAGATTATATCGAGAAAGTCAATATGCATCCAAATTTAGTTCTGGATATCCTCAGATGTTTGTTATTTTCATCTAATGATTTGTTATTCCTGACCTTTGTTAATATAATTTTTAATATAACTGTTATGAAGCTTTGAAATATAGTAAGGATATTTTAATAATATATTAAACAATTTTCTACTTTAAATTAGTATTGGACATTTTCTTGCTAACTATTAACAGGTAGCAGGCTTTAATTATATATTTTCTTACTTTGTCTTATATTATTTTTCTTTTATTTATTTAGTTTTTATAAATTTTCTTAGTTTGCCTAGACATGTCGGTATATTTGATATCGGTATGAAAATGTGTCATTTAATACTCTAGAACGAGTAGACATATAGAGGATATTTTATGAAGTAAATCGAACGTGAAACAATCAATGAAAAATCAACAAAAATGTTAAAAATAATTGCCGCTGCACCCAAAAACTACGTTTGCTTGTGGTAAGCGGGCTGGTGGAGGGAGGGTGGTTGGCATACAAATTGAAAGAAGAAAGAAATGTAAAAATAATCGGCAATAAATTTAGCAAAAGTGTCGAAAACGGTTCATACACACACACACACACACACAAACACACACACATGCTCACAAACACACACGGATATTTGGCCACGCCAAGAACTCATAGTTCAATGTCCTATGCAGGCGACGACCGCCAGGCGTGCGGAGAAGTGTCAGCAACAGAAGCTAGAGTGAGCGAGCGAGAGAGAGAGAGAGTGAGTGAGTGAGAGAGAAAGAGAGAGAGAGAATGAAAGGGAGAGAGAGCGGGATGCAAGGTTCGCAGTAGCAACCGCATTTATAATAAATTGAATTGCAATAACTCAACTTCAATCAAAAATCATAATTCATGGATTTCGACAGGCAGAACCGCTACCGAAACCCGGTCGTATCCTTGCACGGCACTCCTGCCTGCTCCTCTTACCCTTTTGTTCTCCTTTTTTTTTATTTTTGTTGGCCGCTGCGATGCATTGCATTGGCCGTCGCTCGGGCGACGCAGCCGAAAATTATAAATCTACGCTTTGACATGAAGATGCAAGTGTGTGTGCTGTAGCGTTGGGTGGGCAGTGGGTGAGAGAGGGGGTGGGGGCTACTCGGTCTGCTACTGAAGACATGAATTTATAGACGAAGACATAAATACAAACGGAGCCATCGAAGTCGAAACGACCGGCCAAAGACACCAAAAACAGTGAAAAGTGCGCGCGAGCAGAGCCCAAAGAGGCGGAACACGCTCAATGCCCATAAATATCCTTGTGCTTGTAGTTGCAACTGTTCCGGCGGGGCTGAGGGGATGCATTTTAGGTGGAAATAATCACCGCTTCACATGAAATCATTTTGCGCCACAAAATGCCAAAGAAAAATGCAAGCAACGCCCAAAAGGAAAGCAAAAACTTGAAGCAGGATACGCAAGGATCTGCCCGGTAGACCAGCAAACTCAACGCCGTTCAACTGTGCTCCAAATGTGCGGCGATATAAATTCAAAGTTTTGGCCCTATCAAGGGCAAACAAATCAAATGTGACAATTTTGGAAATCGTTTAAATGATTTTTCACTTTGATTTGTTGCCAATATCACAAAGGACGAAAAAGTAGTCTTGGTCTCAAGACGAAAGTTTAATGAAAAAAAAATATTCTTAGATATTGCTGGAACTGTAATTGATCATACTATTGTGGCTTGAATTGTTATTTAAATGACTTGAATGATTCCTTATCTGTTTGTGCTGCACTCTTAAAAGTAAAGGTGACAAATTTGCATGTTCGCCTTACTCTGCAATGCTCAAGAATTAAATAACAACTTATTTTCATTCCTTGATTACTTTTTATTACTTTTTTGATACCTTATCGGCTGGCGAAGCATTTATACCAACAGTAGATCATGTATTGCTTTTCATTGCAATGTAAATAATAAACAAAGAATTTTTAAATAGTGCTATACTATGCGACTCTTATGAATTTAGGTTTTCATGCCTTAATTTTGCTCTCTTTATATTCCTCGCATGCTTTTATTCTAATCCAAATTAATCTTTTTTGTCTTTTCAGCGATGTGTATATAAAACATTTATGTGCATTTATATATTTGGGTAAGTACCTATTTAGTTATATCTATATTATACCTATATTTTTTTTACTTGTTATCAATTTGCCTTTATTCTACACAACAAAACTTCTGTAATAGTCGTATAAATCCTTCATAAGAGATAACAATAGGCATAACAATAATAAGGACAATTCTTTAGCAAAAGTGGAGAACAAGAACGAGGCACGGAAAGAAATTCACATAATTTTTTCAAGCTTCCGTCTCTTTATTGAATGAAATAATAGTAAATAATGAAAAAGAAGCGCTGTAATAAACTGAGGCTTAACTTTTTTTTACCCATGTCGACGTTTAAACACACTTTGACAGATTGGTCAAATATGCAAATATTACAATAGTACATTACAAAATATTGTTAAAAATGCAGCCTAACTTAAATGGTTTTTTTTTATAGCTATTTACTAATGTAACATTTATTTTCCCAAGAGAATTTACTTCTACTCGTGCATTTTTTGCTTGTCTGGCAGCGCAATTCGGTATTGAGGGTCGACTCCAAAATGTTTGGGCAAAACTTTTGCATGATTTTATCCAGCCATTTTTATATTGTTGCTCGCCAAATATTTTAATGTTTATTTATATGTAGATTTCGGTTAGGTTTTTGTGCAAAGGGCGGGTAAAGGGACTTGCGAAATGGCTGGCGGATGTTCGACGCCGTTTGACCATAGCCAAAGGATCTGTGCACACTTTTTTCAGCGTCTCCTGTCATAAAAAAGGACTAGCATTATACTGAATAAAATGTACAGCGGCATCGGCAACACCTTTGCCCGGTACCAAAAGGATACTTCACAAAAGGTCGCGGAAGTAATTTACAATTTGGAAAAGAGAAAAAATAAGAAAAAACGGGAAAGAAACATCAGACAGCAGTGCAAACAGAGTAGCAGAGGATCGAGCATTGGGTTTTGTCTGGTCGCGACGCAAATTGACAAGATTTATTTTCAATTAAAAACAAACAAACGAAACTCCGGCGCACATTATCCTTTTTGCCGTGAGGAGGACACATTCAAACATTTTATTGGCAGCATTTTATGTGTTTTTCTCAATTTGATAATAAATCAAAAAGCGGCCGTCGCATTTTCACATTTCCACAAATTTTCACAATTTCCAACATCGTGTCGTGTCCTGGCAAACTATTGTGGGCATTCGCTGATGGCGTGTGCAAGGACGACGCCACCCCTAAGCCACAGCGCATGGCGCGTTGATGAATTACGAAGGACATGCAGTCACACACACATATACTAGCACGCACAGCGATTGGCTGCACGTCGACGTGCAATAATTTTATGTGTCCTGGCGAGCTGTGCGGCAAGAAAAAAGTCACTGCGGAGGACGCGCTGCAGCCGCCTCATTGTTGTCCTTGTTATTTATGACCCATTAAGGCAAGCGGCAATTGCACATGTGTTCTTCACACCCCTTACCCCTTACCCCTTACCCCTTACTCTTACCACCCATGCCGGCCCCCACCCCCTCGACTCAAGGTGTTATGTGTGTCAGGTCGGCCAAAGACGACCTCGCCTGTTGTCGATCCGGGCAACGGCTTTGGCAACGGGCTGATTTCGCTTTTAATTGTTGGCCAGAGCGCAGGAGACACAAATGTTAATAATTGCGCTGCAGCATCCTTGATGTCCTTTGTCTAATAATCATAAGGCATAATTCATTTGATGTCGTGTTTGTCGTCTGAATTTATGACACTTCTTCTTTCGGCGGCACATTTCATTTCCATTTACGCACGCAAAAAACAATTATCCTTGCCGTTAGCCCCCCGCCAATGGGCGCACATTTAATTGCATGGCCAAAGGATTCGAATGGAGACATTAGAAAAATCTGTCGCCGCCAACAGGACACACGTCGCTAACGCCGAAAGTCGTTAAAATACGAGTAATACTCGCATGTAGTCTGTAAAAGGAAGCTGGAGCTGGTGCTGGAGCTGGAGCACGAACAGGAGGCACACCCATGTGGGCATGTGTGAGCACTTGTCCAAGGATCGTGCTCGTAATCTCGCACAAACATGTGCTCTTCTAGTTTATTGAATATGACAGGCATTGTATTCCAATCCTTGGCTGCAATACATTTGGCAACAACTTGCTCAAATGTGCAATAACTCGCTGTAGAAAACCCGATTACATTTTCCTTTCGCAAATACGTTTCCATCCTTCCATCCTTCTGACAATAGCCATGACATTTTAATGAATTAAGGATGCTCTTAGCTCAGTTCCTTTCGGCAGTATAAATTAGGGTCTAAGTTGGAAGGGGAAAGATTAAAATTTTACCAAGGCTGGGTAATAAGTTGGAAGGGCAAAGAATAAAATTTTTCTGAGGCTGGGTAATACATGTTATGTATGTTCTCTTATACCAAAAAATCAACAAATTTATTTTAAGTAGTTTATACAACTTTTCGCATTGCAGTTAGATCACCCTGCTATGCGATTCTCATCAGTTCAAGTAAGGCCTACAGGTCATCATAGTTTGATTGTAGCTTTTAAATTGGCAAATCGTTTTGACCATCTTTTAAGGCCTGCTCATACTGCCATTATTATCTGTCTCTCTTCGTTTTTTATTCCTCTTTCTGGATCTTCGCACATCAATCATTCAGTCAATCAGCACAAAAAGTCGTCTATTTGCTTGAGCTGCTCGTAGATAAAATACACCAAAACGAGCGTGCTTTTTTTTATTAGCATATTGTTTATTTTATACCTATGGCACTTACCACTTTCTACTTTCATCCCAAACTTGGTTTGGGTTAGTTCAACTTTGATGCGCCCCTTGAGGTGGCCGCTGCATGCAGTTTTTCTATTTTTCTTAAGCGACTTTGTTGTTGTTGCCGCTGGCACTTGACAAGGATAACGCACAGGACAGGCGAACGCCAAGCGGACGGCAGCAATCCACTTCCACTTGATGTCGCATAAATTTTCGCCCTTCTGCTGTTGCAGTCTGCGTAATGCTGGCTGAGGCAATGGCTTATGTGCTGTCTGGTATCCTTGCGCCTTGGCCACGCAGTGACATCCAAGCAGTTTTGGCTGCGCACGCTCAAATTTATTTACATTCTTATTTATTTTGCCACTTTGCCATGATTTTGAAGTCCTGCACTGCCCCATCAACTGGGCTTCTCCAGCATTGTCCAGGACATCAACCGCATGCAACAGAAATGGAAGTTGTAGCTGTCCGGCTGCGATTGGTTCTGCCACAAGCTTAGGGCGGCTTCACAGGACAACAAAGTGTTTCACTTAATGTATTCGTTTATTAACTCAATTGTTTAACATATTTGCAACTATATTTGATATATTTTGGCATACGTATTCAGATGTTTCTTGTACTTCATAATTATGCAGATACAAATTTAAAAGAGAATATTGGTTTTTGTTTTACGACCATTGATAAAAGCCACACGTCATTTCGATTTTGTTCTGAGAATATCTTTACGCGGTGAATAGATTTTTCATTTTCTCCAACCTATATCGCGTACCATACTGTAATTTCTTTCTCTAAGATTATCAAGTATCGATTAATAAACCTGAGCCAATCATTTGTGCTTTGATATTTTAGTTTATCTTCTATTCTATTCTACATATATCGTTATTTTAAAATTAAATTTCTTGTTTATGCTACTTCTCGATTTTCACAAATATTTTAAGTAAGTAAACGCTATGCGAGATAGTCCAGCCTGATTTCTATTTGCACAATAACAAGCAGCTAACCATGACAAGGATCTATGCCATTGCAATATCGTGCATACTTCATTTGGGCTTGTGCACCTCATTCTTTATACACCAGTCGGATGACGTCTGCTCAGAGACAATACATTTGCCCGCCTATCTTGTTTATCTATCACTGATGGATCTCATATACGAAAATGAGCTGATACCCTCCAACTGGAGATATTTGCCTGTTTGGCCAAAGTTTATCATGGAGCTCATGGTGACAGTGTGGCTGGGCGAAGTTTGCCTTGTATTCTTTTGGTCCAACATGGAGAAAATCTGCGTGGGCCTCCTCAAAACATATTTCGAATTAGATGATGTATCACGCATAGTCATTCTGAATTGTCTAATGCTGCTACTAAGTGGCTTTATAGCGTGGCTAGTGGGCATCGAAACCAGGCGTATGGAAAAACTAAAAAGGCTGTTTGGCAATGTTAGGCACTCTCGTGTCGATAGAGAGATGAATGAATGGATACTTAAAAACAGAGACTATTTTAACTCGCAACTAAACAAATAACTGAACCTATACCTTACGAATAATTCATGTCCTGGATTGGGATTTTATATGTGGTGCATTAATTATAGTCAATTTCTGATCTATCAAAGACTATTTAATTTTGTTGTCTTCAAAATAAAAATCATTCAAAATGAAGCTTTATTTATTTAAGTTAGTGACTTATCTCGGCATCAAAAGCTTTATAGAGTTGTTTGTACGAACTATGAAATCGGTCTTAGCCACGAAAGCGTTCCGTTAGTGAGAGAATATCCCCTAGTCAGTTGGGAATTCCTGATAAGAGCACTTTTATTTTATTTTTTGTTATTTTTATCATTAATAATTATTGTTAATACTATTATTCTTAACGAGATGTCTCAAGCTGTCTGATTTTGCTAATTAAAAAATTGCGAATTATTGCAGCTTGTGTGCTGCATATAAAAGCAGCTTAGGTTTAAATATCGTCTAGGTAATAATGAGCTGCAGTACGTTTATCTTTAAGTATTGTAAGCCCTGTCGACGTTTTCGAGTTGCCTGCTCCGCTTAACGCAAAAGGTTTAATTCAGCCTCAGCTGAAAAATGCATAAATACCGTTTTAATTAGAAAATTAGCTGGAAATATGCAGCTCACGTTAATCGCGGCACTGCCTCCACTGCAAACATGAAATTGGAGCCTGCCTTGGCGATGCGGATTCATAGTCGAGGCGAGGCTGGGAGTCGGAGCCGGGTCGAGCGTTGGAAACAAAGCTCATGCAATATCCAAGAGACGCGACAACAACTGAAACCCAACTGACTGCTGCATCCTTTCCATTCACTGCCGCAGTCGCCGCCCCTCCCTGCCAGGCTGCTGGCCTCATTCTCGTCCTGACATTCGAAAATCATTGCGACACTCGCTACGGCTACGGCTACGGCTCCAGCTCCGGGGAGTTCGACTCTGCTGTTTGTTGCGACAAATGCCGTTATAATTATTTATACCGTAAGCACATTTTATGGTGTCGCAATTTTAAAATGCAATTAGACGCGCAACTCTATGAAAAAGCCAACACAGTAGCACCAAAACAGCCAAAATACGCTGCAAGCGAGAGTGCCAAGTCTCCGAAATACCCTAGTATTAATGGACTCGGGAATGGTGTAGTATTAATGGACTTAATGGAAAGTCCAACAACTAAAGAGAGTTCAAACTTGTCCAAAATGAATAACTTACAACTGAAGTATGTTCAGTTAAAGAGATTTAAAACAAATCTAAAAATTAGCTGTCTTAGTTGTGTCTCCAAAATTAGAAGTTAGTTCAGTTAGTTTCTCCAAAATGTCAGATCTGATATAAAAATAGCTCTATTAAAGCCCAACTTCAAAGTAAGATGTCTACAATTCAAATATTGAAACCGAAATTCTGTAATTAGCTCGCTCCACTGCGCATAACATACCCGCTTACACTCCAAACTACACGGTATTAAAAGGCATTGAAATAACATACAAATAGGACAATGCTCGTTACGAGCACAGACAACTGTAATTCTTAATGGGGTTTTGTCATTTCAGCATCGTGCCCAAAATTTTATGCAAACATCATCGCGCTTATGCCTCAGTCCCCAGTACACATTCCCCCCAACGCCAAAGGGAAGCCCGTGCTCAGCTCACCTGGCTTATTAGTTTTTTGGGACTTATTGAACAGCCGCGCGCCTTGCGCTATGCAATATAAAATTTCTCGAGTCGAGCGTGGCGAATCCGACGCAAAACTGAAAACAGAAGAATGGAACGGAACAGCTGCTGTCATATTTTCATATTACAAAAAACACACTCATATTTTGCAATTTCCTTATTTAGTAAAGCGCCTTCACTTATGCTCGCACATATTTATATATATTGCATATATATATTTACTTACCCGACTTCAGATTTCTTGTATTACTCGGACCAGTTCTCAGCTCTGCTGTCATAATGAAAAGTTTTGCTGAGTAAATTTGCATAAAACTTGGCTCACATATGGAGAGATTGACATAAAGGAAATATGCGCCAACTGGTGAGGCCGGTTCAATTTTTATTACGAGTATCTCCATCATTAGGCATATGCTTGGGAGCATATGTTTAATAAACCGAATATTAGTTAGAAATGCTTCTAATTCAGAAACAATTGCACAAGCTCAAGTATTAAATAGTTTCGCACTGCCTGATAGTTTCCATTTACCTCAATAAATATGCAGGTATATTTTAACATATTTACAATTATTAAATTTGTATTTTAACCCAAGCATAATATATTGATATATGCATGTGCATATTAGGAATATTATAAATATTATCTTCAAGTATATCTTGCATTATTAGTAGGCAGTCGAGCTGGAAAGCTCGTAGCAAGTTTTATGAATGGGTTTTCAGTTTTTTAGCTTTCTTTAAGCAATCCAAAGACAAAGAAATTCTTTCTTTTTGTTCAAACATAATATTCCATTGCACTATCGCATTATCGGCTGCGGTCGTAAACTATTTGCAGCAATTATCTTGGAAAGTTCGTTCGATGCCTTTGGGGAAATATGCGGCGAATTAATAGAAGTTTATAGAGCCAAGGAGCTCAGCACCCAAAGGGAGCGAAAGGAACTCTCGCCAAGTCGGCAACCCTTTGGCCCTTTTTCCGAATGAGTTTGGTAAGCGCAAGTTGCGCTTAATTTATAACGAGGATTACAATAAACAAACTAATCTATGGCAATAAACACTAAAAATCCCCCAAAGTGCTGGCCATCTAATACTCCTCTCGAGGGGCAGGGGAAGAGGACAGTCTGGCGGCGTATTGGGCATTGTCACCACTCTGCTCCCGGATGTGGCCATGGCCAGCGTCTTTTTATAAGTTAAATCGCAGCAATCCGCAATCCTTTCGCCTTTTAAATATGCCATTTCCGTTTCGAGATTATTTTTCGATATCGCAAACGTATGATTCCAGATGTTTACGAGTGCCCAGTGCCCAATGTGCAGTGACCAGCCGCTGGCTGCCGACCGCCGACTGCCGGTTGCCGGTTGCCCGACCAGCAGATTGGCATCGCGGTTCAGTTCCTAAGTGCGTGCTGTAACCCGGCCGAACCTTTTTTCTATTAACAATAAATTTGTACGATTTTTATTAGACCACAAGTAACTTGGGGGTACATTGATGTCACTTTGAGGGTATAAGTGAGAGTGAAACATTAACGAAGACAACTCCCAACTTCTTATGGGAAGAATTAAGACAATCGTCTTACAAGTGAATAAAATGTAATGCAGCACATCGAGCATACCGATTCGACGAGGGGTCTAGGGTATAAGTACACGAATACCGTTTATCAAAAAAAAAAAAAAGGGGGTGTGGATAAAAAATCAAAATAAAATAAAAAAAAATCCATCCTAAAGTTTAGTAAATTGCTTTAAAACGTGTTTTAAACAGTGTTCAGTGTTTACTAAAATTTGGAAAATATATTTTTGTAAGTGTATAATAAAAGTATAGGTAATCTCCATACTCCATACCTAGGCCATATGAATATTCTAGGCCAGAGCTGAGTAATAACTATATCGAACGAATACTCTTTCGTATAATCCGCTCTTAATTACTTAAATGTAGTGAAAATCTGGAAAGAAATTGCGATTGTCTTGCCATCAAAGCTGTATTAAATCAAAGGCGAAACTAATAGACAGGGGGAGTTCTGGATGCTAGGTGGAGAGACAGTTAAGTGGGACCAAAACAAATCGGCAGCAAACGGGATGCGCGTGATGCCCGAAAGGATGCCATTAAGGACAACGGTTGCAATCGTTAGTGAAGCCATTAGTTTGCAGCGCCAATATGCGAAAATCAAAAGCAAACACCCAAATGTGTCCAACTCGCAGGACAACCCCAAAAGTGTCCAGTGTACTCGTGTTTGTTGTATAATTGCAAGTGCGCAGCTTTGGAAAAATGCGAGATATAACATAAAATAACAAAAAAGCGGACAAACGGACTCGGGACTACGGACTGCGGACACCAAAATGTCCATCTACCACTAATGTGACCGGACTTGGGGACCGAGGCTGAGGCACAGACAGTGGGCAGTAAGGATATCACGACAATGGCCCGGCAAACGTAACAATAACAATAAAACAAAGGCCGCTGCCAATGTACACACGGGTAACAGAAAATAATTTCAAGGATATTATCCGAGTGCCGGGCGCTGCTGATGTCCCAGGCGCGATATGTGCACGGCAAGTAGTTGGGAGTCAGAAAAAGATTCACATCAACATAATGTCTACTTTACAATGTGGATAAAGTCGATGGGCCGGCCGGCCGCCCGGGCTGTACTCGAAGAAAACGAAATCACATCCATATTGAGGAAATAGCCATTCAGCCTTAGCCTGTCTCCCATTCGGACAACCCACCTGACACCAGTCTGCCCAAATGTCCTCTACTGTCCTGTCCAGGCCCGTCTGGCTGCTGCTGCTGCTGACCAACCCCCTTTGGTGCACATATAGTGGACGCTCGCACGCCACGATGCAATAAGTTACGGCTGGCGGCCATTACGCCGGCATCGGCACGGGCAATGGTGGCCGGGCCACAGGCACAGCCGGAGACAAATCCGAAATCCATACTCGTAAACAAATGCAACTAATCGCCGTTCATGTTGAACGTGTTCACGGCTAGGCAAACCTGAAATTGTGGCTTCACCAAATCGTTCTGCCCGCATCCAAGTGTATCTAGCGTCCAAGCACCAGCTCCAGCTTCGTATCCCAATGATCATTGTGCGAGCTTAGCTCTGATTCGGATTCTGATGGTTATCGCGTTCTATGGCACGACACGGGATACAGGTCAGTGACTGTTCCGCTTCGCATCAGCAATATTTTTGCTGCGTTTTCATTCCAGCATTCAGTTGTGCAAATTGTGAGAAACTCACGAAATATGCAATCAATTCATCTAATTATTAAATATATATCTATTATTGCTTGCATTATAGGACATAGTTATAAGCTATCTACCTAACAAATCCGAGATTACAGGAGCTAGTCTTGAGTGCTCTACTGGGAGATACCCCGAACTTAGCGACGAGCTGTTAGTGAAATCTTTATGTACACATATACATACACATATACATTAACATATACATACAGAATAGGTCACTCCTCTTGGAAAATGGAGTAAAAATTAAATATATATATATATATATATATATATAGATTAAATTTCTATGAGCCACATACAACACCCAAATGTATGTATATTCCAAACTGCAGAAGGTATCCGAAATGGAAATATTTGTTATCTGTGTATGGCATACTATGTAAAACTGGATCAAGACTATGTATAAAATGCAAAGATAGTTGGCTAATGAAATAACATATTTCTAAAACTTGTACTGTGTATGTATTTAGTTTATTAGTTGAAGAGATTGGCAAATGGGCAAATGGTCGCTCTGTTCTAGAATATATATATACTTTATGCAGTCGGAGATACTTCCTTTTGTATGTTAGATACATTTGCACAAAACAAAAATACCCCTTACACTCAGTTTCAATGGGCTCAGGGCATAATACATACAACCTTGACAGTAGTTTCTTATGTAAATCCAAAAATGCAATGAAAGAAAATCATGCTTTCGACAACCTAAAAAAAAATTTGTCTTCTTTAACCAAACTTGCCGTACGACTTTCCAGCTAAATGGATGGTATTTTGATAAAAAATGATGGAGAAATCAAGTAATTGGGAAAATATATGGAATTAGCTTGTAATGCGGTGCATTATTCGTGGGCGTTGCTTCATAATGGAAAATACATAAAATTGCTTGTGATAAGTAGGCTTTGAAATTGAAATTATTTTTTTTTCTTTTTTTTTTCAAGAAAATTCTATATTTTGTATGTGAACTGGAGTTTTCTATTAATTCATTCGGCTGAAAGCCATAGTAGCACAAACAGCTCAGATTGGTTGGTGGAAAAAAGTATTTTCTATATTTATTGTGGAGAGTGTTGCATGTTTGGAAAATCGTGTGGCCGCCGATTTGTTTTGTTTACAAAAAGTGTAAGTGCTAAAATTTGTGTGCTTATAAATAATTTAATATATATAATTGGCAAAATTGTGTGCCGAAAAATAAGTTTTAAAAATATTTTTAATATTTTAAAATTGCCTAAAAAAAAGAAGAAGAAATATATATATATTTTTTGCGACGCTTGCCGAATATTTATATTTACTTACGCCTGAATAAAGTTTGGAACAGGTAAGTAGCACAGTTTTTTGTATTTCTATACAAATTTATTTATTTATTATTTACGCCGGCAGCCGAAAAAAAAAAATTCCCCATGCTTAGTTTGAAAAGTCGAAAACGCCATTTGGTCTTTACCGAGGACCTGGAAGATGGCGAACTGCCCGATGTCGATGCCAGTGAATGCCACAGAGTGCATTCGATACAGACAATGCCCACGTTAAGCCAGTTCAGTGATGGCTACGACGACAACCTGATGGGCGACGCGGCGGACCGGGCCAGATTAGAGGCGCTCAGCGAGCTGGAGCGGGAGAGCGAGCTGTATGAGCGCAGCCTGAAGCGGGACGAGCTGCTATACAAGTGGGGCATCAAGTGCATACTGCTAGCGAAGGAGAAGCATGCCGGTGCCGTCGACAGGCCTAGTACTGAGCCGGACACCGCAGTCTCGCTCAAGGAGCGCTCCAGCACGCGGCGTCTGAATCCGGAGGCGCAGCGCGCGGCTGACAAGCGGCGCAGTGCAATCGATCGCCTGGTAGCGCAACGCAACAGTAAGAAAACAAAGGATGAGTACGAGTGCAAGCATATAACAGCAGAGGAGCCAGAGCAGGATCAGCACTTGGAGCAGGAACAGCAACAGGTGCAGGCACAGCCTCGGGAGCAGGAGCAGGAGCAGGCAAGAAGCGAGTCGCCCAAAAGTGCAGACGGAAAAAAGTTGAAGCTGAAGGCCAAAGACGTTTACTCGGACGAGTCCAGTGGCAGCACAGACGACGAGGATTACGTAGAGACCAGCAGTCCAGGCAGCGACCCAGAGACATTGGTCAGCACCTTACAGGACCTCAGCAAGGCGCTGCTCACACGCACCCAGCTGGAGAGCTTTTTGGACAAGCCCATCTTTGATCAGACTGTGGTCGGCTGCTTTGTGCGCATCAGCATTGGCGGCATTCCCACCAACCAGCCCGCCATCTATCGCCTGACGCGCATCGTGGCTGTGGAGCATATCGAACAGGAATATCTGGTGGGCAATCAGCGTACGAAGCGCGTGCTTCAGCTGCAGCATGGGATCCATCTGCGTAGCTTCCAAATGGATGCCGTCTCGAACCAGCCGGTGATTAACAGTGAGTTCATCTTCTGGCTGGAGGCATGCCAGCGCGATGCCCAGCCCTTGCCCAGCGTGAAGAGCATTGGCAAAAAGGAGAAGGACATCGAAAAGGCTACCAACTATGCCTTCACCGAGGGCGATGTCGAGCTGATGGTGCAGACAAAGCGACGCGCCGGACAGAAGCCGGTGAGCGCCGCCTATCGCAAGGTGTGCCTAATCATGGAGCGCGACATGGCTGTCGATAGCAATGACCTGGAGAAGGCCAACCTGCTGGAAAAGCAAATCAAACAGATTGACGAGCAGTCTCTCAGCGAGCATCAGCGTGAGAAGCGTGTCCAGTACATGAGCTCGAATGCCACAGCTCCGGCCAGGATGCCATCAACGGAGCAACCTGCCAAGGCCAAGTCGAAGAAATTTGACTGGCAGCAATATATGCGACGCAGATACAAAAAATTTGCCCATCTAAATCGCCTGCAAACCCAACAGGATCAAAGTCCAGTCAAGGAAGCGCCCAACATGAGCACAATCCCCGCTGAGCCCGCGGCCAAATCCGCGGCTACAGAGCCAGTCCAGGAGCAGGCCAAGGAAACAGCTGAGTCAAACATAGACATGTTGGATCTGTATGAGCTGCACAACTTTGAAGTTCACTTGGATGTCAGTAAATTAAGTGAGTAGTGAGACTGCAAGCCGAACACTTGGCTTAGATCTGCTGTTTTTATACCCTAGCAGAGGGTATTTTAATTTTGTCGAGACATCTCTGACCGCATAAAGTATATTCTTCATCAGTAATAACAGCCCAGTCGAAATAGCCATGTCCGTCTGTCCATCTATCGGTTTCTATCCGAACTGGATCGGAACGATCGGCCGAAAATAAAGTTGTATGGAAAACTTTTGGTTGTTTTAAGATATCTTAACCATACTCGGCATTAACTATTTTCCCCTGTGATTCTTAGTTACAGGTTGGATCTGCAAGGGTATTAAATCTACGGCGTCCCTTCTTTCTCATTATAGGTGCGAGACTCACGAAGCTTTGAAATGCGAAGCTTTTTTAAGATATCTTTTAGACCAATTCTTTCTAAAATGTTTTTCATACAAGAACTAAAATTTCGACATTCCCATGACTATGATTTTGTAGAGTTTCATTAAGTTAATTTTAAAAGCCGAGACCATTTCATTATCAGACTCTCTACAAGGGTTTAAGATTCGATGATATATAGTAAGTGCTTTTCTCGCTTAATTCTTTAGTGCAATTCAGTGAGATCTGTAAGGAGATCGAAGGAATAACTCTGGAGGCTGGTGCTCAATAGTTAAATAAGCAAACGCCCAGAATATCAGACAAGAACCGGCTGCAACATAATCACTTCGACCAGAAACAATTCACCAAACCAGAAATTAACACAGCCATCCCAACCGACTGCTCCACTTCCCGCTGCCCGTTGCCCGTCTGCCTGCCTGCCTGCCTGGTGGGCAATCACGAAAAATTGGGAATTTCAAACAGTGAACGCTTCTAATTGCCCAACCGTTGAGCCAACTAGTCTGAGGACCAGCCTGCCAGCCGGGCAGGACATCGATTGCCAAAAATATGAATACAGACTCATCCTGGTTGTTGTTGTTACCCCACGATTGACAGGATCTATCGTCGTATTGCTAACAGGGTCAGGAAGGAGCTGATTATCTCGAAAAGAAATGCCACAGACACCATGCTGGAGGAAGCAACGGCAGACGAGAGCTCCAAATTCGCGCTGTGGAAACTTAGCAGTCGATACAAGCGGCAAGCTGCGCCAAAGTTCCCCGTTCGACTTCCCGATGACACCTGGGCCAGATCACCAATGGACAGAGCCGAAGCCTTTGCCTGCAACTTGGAGGAGCGCTTCAAGCCGTTTGAGACCGCATCGCATGGAAGGATACAGCGAGTCGCGCAAATCCTGGAGGCGCCACTCCAAATGTCACTCCCTGTATCGCCAATCACCTTCCAAGAAGTAGAGCAGGAGATGAAGAGATTAAAAAGCAGCAAAGCCCCTGGGGAAGATCGGTTGGACAACCAGACAATCAAGCTACTGCCATACAAGGCGGTGCTTTTTCTCGTCGCCATTTTTAATGCAGCTCTTCGGCTAGGTTACTTTCCAGTGGCTTGGAAGAAGGCACATATAATCATGTTGCACAAGAGCGGAAAGCCCCCTAATCAACTGGGATCCTATCGCCCCATCAGCCTCCTGCCTGCCTTTGGTAAGATTCTGGAAAGGTGCATCCTCAGAAGGGTCCTGGATACCCCGGAAATAAAACGCTTGATCCCGAAGTTCCAGTTTGGGTTTCGACTCAAACACGGTACCCCTGAGCAACTACATCGGGTCACAAATTATATTTTGGACGGCTTTCACAGGAAAGAGTATGTGGTGGCAGCATACCTCGACATCCAAGAAGCCTTCGACCGGGTGTGGCACGCAGGACTCCTCTCCAAGATAAAGGACAAATTGAATCCGCAGCTATTTAGCACCATTGCGAGCTTCCTAACTGAGAGAACCTTTCAAGTGGTGCAGGATGGAGTAGCCTCTCAAACCAAACGCATAAAAGCGGGCGTTCCACAAGGCAGCGTCTTGGGTCCCACGCTATATAGCCTGTTTACACATGACATGCCCACAGCAAATGCAAGCAGACGGAATGATCGGCAGGACCTTCTGGTGGCCACGTTTGCTGACGACACGGCAATCCTTGCAAAAAACAAATGTGTGTACGTGGCAACTGACCTCTTGCAGGAATACCTCAAGCGATTTGAAAACTGGGCTTGTAGATGGAACATCGCAGTGAACCCTGGAAAGTGCGCCACGGTTACCCACACTCTACGCAAGGACTCATGCCCCGGACTTTTTCTTCATGGTGAGCTTCTAGAGCAATATCGTCAACACAAGTACCTAGGTGTCACTCTCGACAGACGACTTACATTTAGTAAGCACGTCTCTGCAGTAACGAGCAACATCAAATCTAAGATAAGGCGAATGAGCTGGCTCCTCAACTCCAAAAACAAACTCTCGCTCCGAAACAAGGTCCTAATCTACAAGGTAATCCTTGCCCCAGTGTGGCGTTACGGGCTTCAAGTTTACGGTATAGCTGCAAAAACACACCTGAACAAAATTCGCATCATTCAGGCCAAAACCCTGCGCAAAATAACTGGAGCCGAATGGTATATTCGCACACGCGACATCGCCAAGGACCTCAAGGTTCCAATGGTGGGCGACGTAGTCAACAGGCAAGCAGCGAGCTACTCAACAAAGCTCCACAACCATCCAAACATCCTGGCGAGGAGCCTGCTAAGGAGGCGAAGAAGAAGGCGACTGAAGAGGACCTACCCAACCGACCTAATCGATCGTTATGTATAGGTGACAAGCTTCGTTAATTACACCAAAATATGTTTCTGTAATCTGTTAACCTAATTGTATAACTAATTGTAAAACCACAATCATCGCTAAGCTAAGTTATTATGTCACTCTGATAAAAGTTGCTAACATAGAGTAACAGGATACCAGATTTCTTAATAAACAAAATATAAAAAAAAAAAAAAAAAAAAAAGGTTGTTGTTGTTGTTGTTGTGGTGGCACCGCGGCATGTCAACACTGTGTCCAGCTCATGTGCTGGCTGTGGGGGTTGGCGAACCGCTAGCTGGGGCTCCCAATTCCAATCAACCACAGCGGACACATCAACAATTCGTGCGCCGCCAAAAGCTTGTTCTAATCCAATCAAATCTCAAATGCGGTTGTTACCCAATTCGTTTGGGAAGCAACAACAGCGCAACAATACAATGGCAACAAATCCGTATTTATTGTGCAAAAATCTATTGATTTAACAATGGATCAAACTAAATATCATTATGAAAGATAACAAAATTCTTTTTTTATTAAACCAAAAAACGTTCGTTTACGCGTAAAAACGAATTTTTGTACATTTTTTAGCAATATGTTGTAAATATTATATTTATAATTTAGCTCCTTAAGTATATTGTATAATTCTGAAATTTAAAACAATTCTTTTTACAAACTTAATTTAATTGGTTTGACTTGGGAACGCTGGGAAAAGAGAAAGTTTTGTATTTCTATACAGATTAGTCTGATATTGATATCAATAATTTTTTTTCTCGTGTGTTGTGTAGTGTTGAGTAATTCCACCGTGCCCTATGGGCTTTCCCTATTAACAACTGTGTGTGTCCGGGCCCACAGCATTTATCTGGCCGTCGAATAGTGGTTTATGGGTTGGGAATTCGTTGACTCGCAATTGGCAGGAATGTCTATGGGAAAAAGTCGACTGTGTGTAAATGCCAGCAGATATTAGTAAATTAAAAATACACTTATTATGCATCAGTAGCAGGTTATGTCTGACCTAATGAATCATCCATTTTGGGCGACACTGCAATGAGAAGTGAAGCATATGTGACAGCCACTCACAAAGGGGGCTGGGAGCATCATTAATAATACAAATACAAGACTCATTCGTAGTACGTGCATCAAAATGCCGGCACTTTCATATTCTAGAAGCATGGCCTCCTTGGCATTGGTACATAAAATAGAATCGAATCATCTGAGACGATGGTCATAATTGAAGATATGTGGGGTCACATAGGTGACAATAAAATAAATGCCATTTACTGATGACTCATCAACATAATTTTTACGATTCGACCCCATTCAATGAACAAACAAATAAACCGAACAGAACTAACCTGGCTACCAGTTATTGCCAGGACATTGGAGGACTAGTTTGAGCGTGTCACGAAAGCATTTCGCATGCATTGACTTTTTATGGCAACCAGAGAGAGCAAAAGAGAAAGAGAGGGGGCGGGAGAGAATGGGAGAGTGTGGCCTCAACAAATAATGCGAAATCATTTAGTGGAACTTTCACAGCATTCAGGGACTCTCTCTCTCTTACTCTTTTCGTGAGTGCTGCGACTCCTCTGTCTCGAAAGTCATAAAAATCCGCACCAAATGAAATTCTCATCAAGTCGCCAGTTGGCACAATTTCATTTGGCGCTAAGCAACTGAACATGGCCAAAATGACCCAGACCCATACTGTGCGTGCGTGTGGTTGTGTGTGTGTGTGTGTGTGTGTGTGTGTGTGTGTGTGTGTGTGTGTGTGTGTGTGTGTGTGTGTGTGTGTGTGTGTGTGTGTGTGTGTGTGGATTCTGGACACGGAACCAAAGCTCCATCCTGGTCCTGGACAAACTCGGCAATCGCGCGTGACTAACGTAATCAGCTCACGTAACGCTGAATGAGATGAGATGAAATCAGCATACACTCAGACTGCATAAATAGCGAATTTATACGAAAACTGGATGCCCATGTCCGGGCCCCATTCCGGCAGCTGTGCCACATCATTCAATGGCGCCCGGGCAGGGCTTTTGTGGATCTGCAGCACGCGATAAAATCATTGTCATCCATTCCAATGCTCGATGTTGTTCTACAACAGAATTAACAAAATGGTCCACTTCAAGATCAACTAAATATTCTGATTAGCCTTTGGCATCGAACCTAAATTTGAAGCTGATTAAATTTCAGCTGATTTTATTTTTCAACTTTGAGATATTCATTGGCCGGGAAAAAATTTGGAATGTAACTGAACTCTCCTTTAGATTGGGAACCGTACCTTTCCAGTTTGTAGTGAAGGTTCTAATACAAATTCCTATGTATGTAAGCAGACCATGGTGCAGAGGCGACTAGCCTAACCTGAGTCAAAGATAATTTATGGATTACCTAAACCAGAAAGCTCTCTCGATTTTCTTTCAATAACCCAACTATTAATAAACGATGAAAACAATTTTAAATAATTCTAAGTTACCCAAAAACGTTTGAAACATTTTGAAATATACCCAAATTATATTTTCAAATTAAACTTACGAAACCCGTTTTGATTTTTTTTGTGCACTAATTTTTGTAGATATTTTATTAGAACAAATCGAATTTTCAATTAAGTTTCAAGACTAGTTCTTAAAACTAGACTTTTTATTGGGATATTTAGCAAAACACTCGAACGCTGCCTATTTGACTCTAGTTTGCATTATTGGTGATACCAACAATTGACCCATACGCCCAGCATAAAAAGCTATAGAGAATATACAAGAGTATACTGCGACATGGCAGTAAGAGAAAAAGGCAAACATCACGCATAAGTTTCATTTTATTTTGATTTTTACGACTGTCCGTGGCTGTGACAACAGTGCAGTGTCCCACCTGGATCACTTGGTAAATAACCAAGCGAAAGGCAACAAAAATCAAGAAAAAGTAGTCACCAAATGACCAGGATGTTCAAGGACTGCAATTGTGGAATGGGTGGGTTTGGGCTCGGGCTCGGGCTCGAGTTCGGGCTAGGGGTGGTTGTTGTGTCCGAACGGGAGCTAAAGCAGAGAAAATGCCTATTTACGAGCTCGCATGTGGCTGGACACATGGTAATCATATATTTTGGTCATATCTGTGGACCATAAAACCAGTGTCCTTATGTGCCTGTCAATGAGTTGTTTCATGACATTTATTTCGCTTGTTCCTCGCTCAGCTCAGCTCGGTTCAGTTTCGTTTGGTTTCTCCTTCGTGCGGCCTTTGGGTGTGCTGCGTGCAGATGGAAAATATTTTAGTGTCCATTTAATGTCCAATCTAAGATGAGCTCGTAACTTTTGATCGAATAAACGAGCAAACACACACACATACACACCATCCCCCTTTGGAGAAGGTAATACCTTTGCTCCATATATAAATATCCCAGTAGTTG